CAATAACAAGAAAAGCAAAGAGATCTCTCAAGACCTTCACAACCTTATTGTTGCAAAACATACTGACTTCTGAATGTTCCAGTGAGCACTGTTGGGGCCATAATCCGGAAGTGGAAAGAACATCATTTCACCATAAACCGACCACGACCAGGTGCTCCTCACAAGATTTCTGACAGAGGAGTGAAAAGAACTATCGGAAGAGTTGTCAAGAGCCAAGGACCACTTGTGGAGAACTTCAGAGAGACCATGGCCTGTATGCACGTCACCACGCAAGACTGAAAAAAAGGCATGTTGAAGCACATTTCAATTTTCCTTCACAACATTTTGACAAGCTTGTGAAATCCTGGGAGAATATAGTCTGGTCAGAGGTGACAAAAATGGAACTCTTTGGATGCCATAATACACCCCATGTTTGGAGGTCACATGGCACTGCACATCATCCCAGAAACACCATACCAACTGTGAAGCATGGCGGTGGGAACACCATGGTGTGGGGCTGTTTTTCAGCATACGGTACTGGCAAACTTCATCTCATTGAAGGAAGGATGAAAGGAAAAATGTGCCAAGACATTCTTGATAAAGATCTGCTGCCATCTACCAGGAGGATGAAGATGAAACGCGGGAGGACATTTCAGCAGACAACGATCCCAAACACAAAGCCAAGGAAACTCTCCATTGGTTTCAAAGAAAGAAAATAAAGCTGCTAGAATGGCCCAGCCAATCACCTGACTGGAGTCCAATAGGAACTCTATGGAAAGAACTAAAGATCAGAGTTCATAGAAGAGGCCCACGGAACCTTCAAGATGTGAGGACTTTGTGTGGAAGAACCGGCCAAAATCACCCCTGAGCAATGCATGCCACTAGGTTCTCCATACAGGAGGCGTCTGGAAGCCGTCATTACCTACAAAGGATTTTATACCAAGTATTAAATACATTTCGGTTAGCGTGTTCAATACTTTTTCCCTGTATCATTCCATTTTATTTCACGTAACTTAATTTCTGAACTTATTCATTTTGGTTTCTTTGTATGTATGGATTGTATGGGTTGTTACCGGCATGTGGGGAAAATGTCATGGCAATAGCACCTTTAGAGATATGTTTACTGAGAAAAATCGTGACGTGTTCAATACTTTTTACCTGCTGTGTATATATGTGTGTGTGTGTATGTATATATATATATGTGTGTGTGTATGTGTGTGTGTATATATATATATATATATATATATATATATGTGTGTGTGTATATATATATATATATGTGTGTGTGTGTGTGTGTATATATACAGTATATATATATATACAGTTGTGTTCAAAATAACAGCAGTGTGTTGAAAAAAGTGACTAAAGCTGAAAATCCTTCTAATCCTTTTATTTCCATCCACACAAATGCATTGGGAACACGACACATTCTATTCCAAATCACAACATGAAGAAAATTACATCAAATTTGTGTTGTTCCTCTAAAAAAAAATGGAAGAAAAGTGAATATTAGACGGTTCAAAAAAAAATGGCCGTGTTTGTATTCTTCTTTACAAACTCAAACATTCACTATATAAACTGAGAAATGTTTGAAGATTTTGCTTTCCTTTGAATGACTTCATGAATATTTGGTTGTAGTCGCACTGTTTCTGAGAACTGCTGTACATCTGTGTTGCATGGAGTCCCCCAACTTCTGGCCCCTGTGATCAGGTATTCCAGCCCAGGATGATTGGACCACATTCCACAGTTCTTCTCTATTTCTTGGTTTGGCCTCAGAAACGGCATTTTTGATGTCACCCCACAAGTTTTCTATTGGATGAAGATCCGGGGATTGGGCTGGCCACTCCATAACGTCCATCTTGTTGGTCTGGAACCAAGATGTTGTACGTTTACTGGTGTGTTTGGGGTCGTTGTCTTGTTGGAACACCCATTTCAAGGGCATTTCCTCTTCAGCATAAGGCAGCATGACCTCTTCAAGTATTCTGATGGATTCAAACTGATCCATGATCCCTGGTATGTGATAAATAGGCCCAACACCGTAGTATGAGAAACATCCCCATATCATGATGCTTGCACCACCATGCTTCACGGTCTTCACAGTGTCCTGTGGCTTGAATTCAGTGTTTGGGGTCGTCTGACAAACTGTCTCCGCCCACTAGACCCAAAAAGAACAATCTTACTTTCATCAGTCCACAAAATGTTGCGCCATTTCTCTTTAGACCGGTCAATGTGCTCTTTGGCAGATTGTAACCTCTTCAGCACACGTCTTTTTCCCAACAGTGGGACTTTGCGGGGACTTCTTGCAGATAGCTTGGCTTCACATCGGCGTCTTCTAATTGTAACAGTCCTCACAGGGAACGTCACACCTTCTTTCATCTTCCTGGAGCTGATTGTTGGCTGAGTCCTCACAGGGAACGTCACACCTTCTTTCATCTTCCTGGAGCTGATTGTTGGCTGAGTCCGCCCCATTTTGGCTATTCTTCTATCCATTCCAATGGTAGTTTTTCGCTTTCTTCCTCGTCTTTCAGGTTTTGGTTGCCATTTTAAAGCATTTGCCATCATTTTAGCTGAGCAGCCGATCATTTTCTGCACTTCTTTATATGTTTTCCCCTCCAATCAACTTTTTAATCAAGGTACGCTGTTCTTCTGAACAATGTCTGGAACGACCCATTTTCCTCAGAATTTCAGAGAGAAAATGCACTGTAACCAGCATGTCCAACATTTGCTGCCTTCCTTCCTTAAATAAGGGCAATAATTGCCACCTGTTTATAAAAAGAATGAATGACCTCACTAATAGAACTCCACACGGCTATTATTGTGAACACGCCCCTCAATGAGTGATTCAATGACACAGAATCAGCAGCATGCATGTCATGACTGTCGGGTCTGTTGGATTTCTATGACTCTACTACACCTGCTAGGAAATTATTTGCCATGTAGAAATATCATTTCCACCAAAAACAGTGATTGATCCGGTTAGTGATGTCTGACGGCTATTATTTTCAACACAACTGTATATATACACACGCACCAGTCACTGTATTAGGTCCACCTTGCTGCTACCAGGTTGGACCCCCTTTTGCCTTCAGAACTGCCTTCGTCACAGAGATTTAACAAGATGTTGGAAACATTCCTCAGAGATTTGGTCCGTATTGACATTGAGTTAATGTTGCCTTTCTATGTTCTGGTACCAGTCTGCCCATTCTCGTGTGACCTCTGACCTCAACAAGGCATTTTCCTCCACACAACTGCCACTCACGGGATATTTTCTCTTTTTTGGACCTTTCTCTGTAAACCCTAGAGATGGCTGTACGGGAAAATGCCAGTAGATCAGCAGTGTTGGAAATACTCAGACCAGCCCATCTGGCACCAACAACCATGCCACGTTCAAAGTCACTTAAATCCCCTTCCTTCCCCATCTTCACCATGTCTACATGGCTAAATGCACTGAGTTGCTGCCATGTGATGGGCTGGTTATCAATTTGTGTTACCAAGCAATTGAACAGGTGGACCTAATAAAGTGACCGTGAGTGTATGTGTATGTGTGTGTATATATATATATATATAGCCAAAATTATTGGGCCGCCGGCCTTCCCAAGAACATGACCTTTAATGGCCTCCCAGTCTTACTCCGTAGGGTTCAATATTGAGTTGGCCCCGCCCTTTCCACACACATGACCTTTAATGGCCTCCCAGTCTTAGTCCGTAGGGTTCAATATTGAGTTGGCCCCGCCCTTTCCACACACATGACCTTTAATGGCCCCCCCAGTCTTAGCCCGTAGGGTTCAATATTGAGTTGGCCCCGCCCTTTCCACACACATGACCTTTAATGGCCCCCCCAGTCTTAGCCCGTAGGGTTCAATATTGAGTTGGCCCCGCCCTTTCCACACACATGACCTTTAATGGCCCCCCCAGTCTTAGTCCGTAGGGTTCAATATTGAGTTGGCCCCGCCCTTTGCGGCTATAACAGCTTCAACTCTTCTGGGAAGGCCCCCCACAAGGTTTAGGAGGGTGTCTATGGGAAGGCTGGACCATTCTTCCAGAAGCACATTTGTCAGGTCAGGCACTGATGTCGGGGGAGGAGGCCTGGCTCGCAGTCTCCGCTCTAATTCATCCCAAAGGTGTTCTATGGGGTTGAGGTCAGGACTCTGTGCAGGACAGTCAAGTTCCTCCACCCCAAACTGGCTCCCCCATGTCTTTATGGACCTTGCTTTGTGCACTGGTGCGCAGTCATGTTGGAACAGGAAGGGGCCATCCACAAACTCCTCCCACAAAGTTGGGAGCATGAAATTGTCCAAAATGTGGCCTTAAGAGTTCACTTCACTGGAACTAGGGGGCCAAGCCCAACCCCTGAAAAACACCCCCACACCATAATCCCCCCTCCACCAAACTTTACACTTGGCACAATGCAGTCAGGCAAGTACCGTTCTCCTGGCCACCGCCAAACCCAGACACGTCCATCGGATTGCCAGACAGAGAAGTGTGATTGGTCACTCCAGAGAACACGTCTCCACTGCTCTAGAGTCCAGTGGCGGCGTGCTTTACACCACGGCATCCGACGTATTGCATTGCACTTGGTGATGGAAGGCTTGGATGCAGCTGCTCGGCCATGGAAACCCATTCCATGAAGCTCTCTACGCACTGTTGTTGGGCTCATCTGAAGGCCACACCAAGTTTGGAGGTCTTTAGCTATTGACTCTGCAGACAGTTGGCGACTTCTGCGCACTGTGCGCTTCAGCATGCGCTGACCCCGCCCTGTCATGTGACGTGGCCTACCACTTGGTGGCTGAGTGGCTGTTGTTCCCAGTGGCTTCCACTTTGTTATAATCCCACTAACAGTTGAGCGTGGAATATTTAGTAGCCAGGAAATGTCACGGATGGACTTATTGCCCAGGTGGCCACCTATCACGGGACCACGCTTGGAGTCACTGAGCTCCTGAGAGCGACCCATTCTTTCAGCAATGTTTGTAGAAGCCGTCTGCATGCCTAGGGGCTTGATTGTATACACCTGTGTCCATGGAGGGGATTGGAACACCTGAATCACATACTTCGGAGGGGATTGGAACACCTGAATCACATGATATGGAGAGGATTGGAACACCTGAATCACATGATTGGAGGGGATTGGAACACCTGAATCACATGATTGGAGGGGATTGGGACACCTGAATCACATGATTTGGAGGGGATTGGACACCTGAATCACATGATATGGAGGGGATTGAAACACTCTCACATCACATGATATGGAGGGGATTGGAACACCTGAATCACATGATATGGAGAGCATTGGAACACCTGAATCACATGATATGGAGGGGATTGGACACCTGAATCACATGATATGGAGGGGATTGGAACACCTGAATCACATGATTGGAGGGGATTGGGACACCTGAATCACATGATTGGAGGGGATTGGGACACCTGAATCACATGATTGGAGGGGATTGGGACACCTGAATCACATGATTTGGAGGGGATTGGACACCTGAATCACATGATTGGGAGGGGATTGAAACACCTGAATCACATGATTGGGAGGGGATTGAAACACCTGAATCACATGATATGGAGGGGATTGGAACACCTGAATCACATGATTTGGAGGGGATTGGGACACCTGAATCACATGATTTGGAGGACGGGGCCAATACTTTGGGTAATATAGTGTGTGTATATATATATATTTTATACGGAGTATATATTCCTGCATCCAGTAATTGTCCACTTTAATTCGCCGTCTCGGTAGGAGCTGCACACGTCTCCTCCGCTCCCTCCGCCGACTTGGCGTGTATCTGAGGCCGCAGTCACACTGGCGGCGCACACTTACGCAAATGTAATACCCCCTTAATGAGTTTCTCCCTATTAGTTTCATCCACACTGAACATGGTTTGCCGGTTTAATTCCCTGACAATAAAAAGGGGATTAGATTCCTCTGACCTCTCCGTAGCCCCGGCCGCCGTGCCGCTAAGATCGCTCTTCTGCCATTAACCCCTTCATGGTCAGACAGGGCGCATCCCAGGCTTGTCAGCGCAGAGGCGGATCGCCCGGGACAGGAAGGGTTAACCCTTTGCTTGTCTCCTGTCATTGAGCTAAGGTGAACAGGAGAAGTGATGGGTTGGGGGGATTTGCAACAAATGTCACGTATGGGGGGGGGGGGGGGAGGAGGGACCGAATGTTTGCAATGTAAGATTGTCATTCGCCTTGACCCTGGCCGGTGCAATCAGCCGCCTTCTCCTATGGAGGGAATCGAGAAATCACTATCAATCAGGGAACACACACCACATGCAGATGTCGCATCCTTCAGTGTATGGGGGATGGGGGTAGATGAAGTCAAAGAAATACTTACAGGCGGAGTTCCCCCCAGACACATAGACAGACTCCATGCAGATCGAGCCCATGGGGGATTTAGATGCTGGATCTGATCCTGTACATTGATAAATGTCTGTCCCCTGCTGCCCTTCACCAACCCTCCAAGTCATTTACATCCTCCCTTCAGTCTTGCACAGGTGTATCGGCTCCTCCCCTTCAGTCTTGCACAGGTGTATCGGCTCCTCCTCCTCCAGTCTTGCACAGGTGTATCGGCTCCTCCCTGCCAGTCTTGCACAGGTGTATCGGCTCCTCCCCTTCAGTCTTGCAAAAGTGTATCGGCTCCTCCCCTTCAGTCTTTCACAGGTGTATCGGCTCCTCCCCTTCAGTCTTGCACAGGTGTATCTGCTCCTCCCTTTCAGTCTTGCACAGGAGTACCGGCTCCTCCCCTTCAGTCTTGCACAGGAGTACCGGCTCCTCCCCTTCAGTCTTGCACAGGTGTACCGACTCCTCCCCTTCAGTCTTGCACAGGTGTACCGACTCCTCCCCTTCAGTCTTGCACAGGTGTACCGGCTCCTCCCCTTCAGTCTTGCACAGGTGTACCGACTCCTCCCCTTCAGTCTTGCACAGGTGTACTGGCTCCTCCCCTCCAGTCTTGCACAGGTGTACTGGCTCCTCCCCTCCAGTCTTGCACAGGTGTACTGGCTCCTCCCCTCCAGTCTTGCACAGGTGTACTGGCTCCTCCTCTCCAGTCTTGCACAGGTGTGCCAGCTCCTCCCCTTCAGTCTTGCACAGGTGTACTGGCTCCTCCCCTCCAGTCTTGCACAGGTGTGCCGGCTCCTCCCCTGGACTGACACGGCTTCCTCTGATGTCACTGCACACTGGGAGCTTCTCACAATGTGCATTTGAAGCTGCGGCAAGTCAGAGCTGACTGTCCCTGGCCCGGCCCCTTTCATTAGGTTTCAGTTCTTTCAATCATGATGGCTCAGCATCACATGTGGGCGTTACCTATGCAAATACAGCCCACCTAGGAACGCCCACTCCTCCAGGCTGACACCCACCCATCAAAGTATTTTGATATTTGCATAACTCCTCCCACTGCTTGCCTCACAAATGAGGGCTCTTGAGAGGAGTACTGAGGCAGGGTGCTGAGATGCTTTTAGAAAATTATGTACAGACCCCTCCCACCTGCCATGATCTGCCTGCATTGCATAGAGAAGCACAGAGATCCAGTGATATCTTCACTGCGTCTAAAATAAGGAATGTAATGAAAACGGAACGGCTTTATTTAGAATTTCATCAGTATTTTGATGGGACTGGCTCAGTGATCTCTGTACAGCGCTGCGGTATATGTCAGGGCTATATAAATGTATAATAATAATACTGTGTGACTGTGGGGGAGGGGACATTAGAGCGTAAGCTCCTCTGGTACAGAGACTGATGGGACTGTGGGGGAGGGGACATTAGAGTGTAAGCTCCTCTGGTACAGAGACTGATGGGACTGTGGAGGAGGGGACATTAGAGTGTAAGCTTCTCTGGTACAGAGACTGATGTGACTGTGGGGGAGGGGACATTAGAGTGTAAGCTTCTCTGGTACAGAGACTGATGTGACTGTGGGGGAGGGGACATTGGAGTGTAAGCTCCTCTGGTACAGAGACTGATGTGACTGTGGGGGAGGGGACATTAGAGTGTAAGCTCCTCTGGTACAGAGACTGATGTGACTGTGGGGGAGGGGACATTCGAGTGTAAGCTCCTCTGGTACAGAGACTGATGTGACTGTGGGGGAGGGGACATTAGAGCGTAAGCTCCTCTGGTACAGGGACTGTGGGGGAGGGGACATTAGAGTGTAAGCTCCTCTGGTACAGAGACTGATGTGACTGTGACTGTTGGGGAGGGGACATTAGAGTGTAAGCTCTTCTGGTACAGAGACTGATGTGACTGTGGGGGAGGGGACATTAGAGCGTAAGCTCCTCTGGTACAGGGACTGTGGGGGAGGGGACATTAGAGCGTAAGCTCCTCTGGTACAGGGACTGTGGGGGAGGGGACATTAGAGTGTAAGCTCCTCTGGTACAGAGATTGATGTGACTGTGGGGGAGGGGGCATTAGAGTGTAAGCTCCTCTGGTACAGGGACTGTGGGGGAGGGGACATTAGAGTGTAAGCTCCTCTGGTACAGAGACTGATGTGACTGTGGGGGAGGGGGCATTAGAGTGTAAGCTCCTCTGGTACAGGGACTGTGGGGGAGGGGACATTAGAGTGTAAGCTCCTCTGGTACAGAGACTGATGTGACTGTGGGGGAGGGGACATTAGAGTGTAAGCTCCTCTGGTACAGAGACTGATGTGACTGTGGGGGAGGGGACATTAGAGTGTAAGCTCCTCTGGTACAGAGACTGCTGTGACTGTGGGGGAGGGGACATTAGAGTGTAAGCTCCTCTGGTACAGAGACTGCTGTGACTGTGGGGGAGGGGACATGATCTCTGTACAGCGCTGTGGTATATGTCGGAGCTATATAAATGTATAATAACAGATGGAAGGTGTGGTATCCGTGTATTTCATGTCTTTGTATTTCTCCATGGAGGATTCGGACCATGAGGCTCGTGTAGAAGAAGCCATAACACGGATGGTGGTGTGCGCCTTTAAATCTGCTGATTCTTCTGTCCCCCCCGATATCTGGCTGAACCCCACTGAGGTGAGTGCGGTGAGCTGAGAAATCGCGGAGCTTAACATTGGTAATTCAGCAGGTGTAAGGATCTGTCTTGAGTTTCCACATACTAGATGAAAGTTGAAATCAGGCCTGCAGCAGGAATGCATTGGTGGTAGTTGGCTGGAGCCTATCAGAGGGTGGAGCTAAGGGTGGGGCCCAGCGTCCTTTTGATGTTCACTAGCTGTGTAAAGTCTGAGCAGGGACGTGACATTAAATTTGCATAATTGCTCCAAAAAAGTGTTGCCACCCCTGGGGTTCAGCTTTTAGGGGAAATGTGAAGAAAACGATTGTGGGTGGGGCGAAACACATCAGAGGGGCGTGGCCTGGGAGGAGCCAGGCTGAAGCAGCATCTTATTCCTCTCTAACTCTGGGCTTCGTTCCGGTGGGCGACGTTCCGCCTTTGCTGCTTTACCTACCAATCCAGATCATGTTCCGTATGAGTGCTGATCAATCATTGGAAGAGAAGGAGAGGGGCGTGTCCTTCCTATAGCTCATTTCAGTGTAATCTGATTTCCTGCTATACATGTCACAATGCAGGCCATTCACAGCCTAGCAGTAAAGCAATGTGGGAAACCTTTCTACAACTAGACTGTCCTTCACCTCCTTCTATTAAACATTTATAGGTAACATTTCTGATGAATAAAATAACAATAAAAAAAAATTATATTTTATATATTTCTGACAAAATTAGTTGTTTTTTTTTACTGGACATGCATGCATTCCGCAAAGAATAAAAACCACACAGGCGATCAAATACCACCAAAAGAAAGCTCAATTTCATTTGGGTGCAGCGTTGCATGACCGTGCAATTGTCAGTTAAAGTAACACAGCGCCGAAACGCAAAAAAATGGCCTGGTCAGGAATGGGGAGGGGTTAAATGACATCATCTGCAGATGGAATCTTAATCCTTTGATCTGCAGATGAATGAAACAGAATAGATACAAAACTATCCTGTCTGATCGATGTTTATAAACAATGTTACTTTGTATCTCTCCATCTCCCGTCTGATCGATGTTTATAAACAATGTTACTTTGTATCTCTCCATCTCCCCGTCTGATCGATGTTTATAAACAATGTTACTTTGTATCTCTCTATCTCCCGTCTGATCCATGTTTATAAACAATGTTACTTTGTGTCTCTCCATCTCCCGTCTGATCGATGTTTATAAACAATGTTACTTTGTATCTCTCCATCTCCCGTCTGATCGATGTTTATAAACAATGTTACTTTGTATCTCTCTATCTCCCGTCTGATCGATGTTTATAAACAATGTTACTTTGTGTCTCTCTATCTCCCGTCTGATCGATGTTTATAAACAATGTTACTTTGTATCTCTCCATCTCCCGTCTGATCGATGTTTATAAACAATGTTACTTTGTATCTCTCTATCTCCCGTCTGATCGATGTTTATAAACAATGTTACTTTGTATCTCTCCATCTCCCGTCTGATCGATGTTTATAAACAATGTTACTTTGTATCTCTCCATCTCCCGTCTGATCGATATTTATAAACAATGTTACTTTGTATCTCTCCATCTCCCGTCTGATCGATGTTTATAAACAATGTTGCTTTGTATCTCTCCCTCTCCCATCTGATCGATGTTTATAAACAATGTTACTTTGTATCTCTCCATCTCCCGTCTGAGTGATGTTTATAAACAATGTTACTTTGTATCTCTCTATCCCCCGTCTGATCGATGTTTATAAACAATGTTACTTTGTATCTCTCCACCTCCCGTCTGATCGATGTTTATAAACATTGTTACTTTGTATCTCTCCATGTCCTGTCTGAGCGATGTTTATAAACAATGTTACTTTGTATCTCTCCATCTCCCGTCTGATCGATGTTTATAAACAATGTTACTTTTTATCTCTCTGCCTCCCGTCGTTGCATGAATGCGCAATTGTAGGTTACAGGATCCTCTGGAGGGGGAGGGGTTAATGTTGTCCCTGACCAATTGGACTGTTGACACCCTTCCCTGCCTTGATTTAACCAATAAGAGCGCAGTATCGATAAAGACCTCACAGAGGTTCTAACCCTTCCCCTCCAATAATAAAATATTTTTGGGCCCCTAATACTTTCCCAGAACCCGCAGACATAATGTCTCCGAAGTCTTAGACTTTTCCCTTCACACAATTAATTGTGAATTGATCGCGCTCTGTGGACTTCACGCCGGCGGCTGTATAATTTAGCGCTTTTTCTAATTACGATTTTCTTTTTCATGCGCTGGAGGTTCCCCCCCCCCCCCGTAGAGCCGGATAAAACTCATCCAGCCGCTCTCCCAGGCGCGATGGATTATCTATGGCTTTATTCTGCGTATCGACAGGGCGAAGAGCGTTCACCTGATGGTTCTGGCTCCAGCGAATCGATGCCTTTCAAACCCCGAGATCTCGCCAGCCGACGCGCCCCGCCGCCACGGTTTCCATCGTTTTAAGTAAATGAACGGCCGGGAGGGGAAATCACGTCGATTTGATCAGCGCTAAACGCAGAGTTTTTTTCGGACGTGGCGATTTGGGAATCTTTCCATCACCCCGGAGCTTTAGACGCGGAGAGCAGACGAGAAATGTAATTGGCCTTCTGAAGGAGAAAATATGCTGATCCGGCCGCGCGGCGAAACTCGGCGAGAATAGAAATATTATGTGAAAAGTTGACAGCAGTGTAACCGAGGAAGATTTGTGGAATAATACCGGCCCAGCCTGACGTCCATTAACCACTTCCAGTCCGGACACTTCCCCCCCCTTCCAGTCCGGACACTTTCACCCCTTCCAGTCCGGACACTTTCCCCCCCTTCCAGTCCGGACACTTTCACCCCTTCCAGTCCGGACACTTTCACCCCTTCCAGTCCGGACACTTTCACCCCTTCCAGTCCGGACACTTTCCCCCCCTTCCAGTCCGGACACTTTCCCCCCCTTCCAGTCCGGACGCTTTCCCCCCCTTCCAGTCCGGACACTTCCCCCCCCTTCCAGTCCGGACACTTTCACCTCCCTTCCAGTCCGGACGCTTTCCCCCCCTTCCAGTCCAGACACTTTCACCCCTTCCAGTCCGGACACTTTCACCCCTTCCAGTCCGGACACTTCCCCCCCTTCCAGTCCGGACACTTCCCCCCCTTCCAGTCCGGACACTTCCCCCCCTTCCAGTCCGGACGTGCTTTCCCCCCCTTCCAGTCCGGACACTTTCCCCCCCTTCCAGTCCGGACACTTTCACCCCCTTCCAGTCCGGACACTTTCACCCCTTCCAGTCCAGACACTTTCACCCCTTCCAGTCCGGACACTTCCCCCCCTTCCAGTCCGGAACTTTACCCACTTTCACCCCCTTCCAGTCCGGACACTTTCCCCCTTTCAAGTCCGGACACTTCCCCCCCCCTTCCAGTCCGGACGCTTTCCCCCCCTTCCAGTCCGGACACTTTTCCCCCCCTTCCAGTCCGGACACTTTCCCCCCCTTCCAGTCCGGACACTTTCACCTCCCTTCCAGTCCGGACACTTTCACCTCCCTTCCAGTCCGGACACTTTCACCCCCTTCCAGTCCGGACACTTTCACCCTCCCTTCCAGTCCGGACACTTTCACCTCCCTTCCAGTCCGGACACTTTCACCCCCCTTCCAGTCCGGACACTTTCACCTCCCTTCCAGTCCGGACACTTTCCCCCCCTTCCAGTCCGGACACTTTCACCTCCCTTCCAGTCCGGACACTTTCACCCCCTTCCAATCCGGACACTTTCACCCCCCTTCCAGTCCGGACACTTTCACCTCCCTTCCAGTCCGGACACTTTCACCTCCCTTCCAGTCCGGACACTTTCACCTCCCTTCCAGTCCGGACACTTTCACCTCCCTTCCAGTCCGGACACTTTCCCCCCTTCCAGTCCGGACACTTTCACCCCCTTCCAATCCGGACACTTTCACCCCCCTTCCAGTCCGGACACTTTCACCTCCCTTCCAGTCCGGACACTTTCACCCCCCTTCCAGTCCGGACACTTTCACCTCCCTTCCAGTCCGGACACTTTCCCCCCTTCCAGTCCGGACACTTTCACCCCCTTCCAATCCGGACACTTTCACCCCCTTCCAATCCGGACACTTTCACCCCCTTCCAGTCGGACACTTTCACCCCCTTCCAGTCCGGACACTTTCACCCCCTTCCTATCCGGACACTTTCCCCCCCTTCCAGTCCGGACGCTTTCACCTCCCTTCCAGTCCGGACGCTTTCACCTCCCTTCCAGTCCGGACGCTTTCACCCCCTTCCTGTCCAGATACTTTCACCTCCCTTCCAGTCCGGACACTTTCACCCCCTTCCTGTCCAGACACTTTCACCCCCCTTCCAGTCCGGACACTTTCACCTCCCTTCCAGTCCGGACACTTTCCCCCCCTTCCAGTCCGGACACTTTCCCCCCCTTCCAGTCCAGGCCAATTTTCAGCTTTCAGCGCTATCACACATTGAATGACAATTGCGCGGTCATGCAACACTGTACCCGTATGAATTTTTGAGCATTTTGTTGAGACAGATAAAGCTTTATTTTGGTGGTATTTATTCACCGCTGGGATTGTTATTTTTTTTTTTGCTATGTAAATAAAAAAGTCCAAAAATTTTGAAAAAAAGTGTTTTTCTTATAAAATGTTGCAAATAAATAATATTTCATCATAAATCTTGGCCAAAATTTATTCTGTTATCTTTTTTGTAAAAAAAAAAAAAAAATAACCCAAATTAGTTTATAATCAAAAATTATAATTTTTAAACATTTTTTTTTTACATTTTTATTTTATTTTTTTATATTATTATTTATGGTTTTTTTTTTTTTTTTTTTTTTACATACCGTCACCCTAGCAGTATATTGTCACCATGGTGACACTGTACTACTTGTGGGATGAAGATTTTTTTTTTTTTTACACTGATTGCTTTTATACCCATAAAGGCTGTAAAAGCAATCATTTCTCCTTCTCTCTGGCTGCATTCTTGCAGCCATTGAGAAATACTGTGTGAGATGTGATTGGTAACAGCTTGTCACATGGTACAAGGCTGTTGTGAATGTCCCTGTACCATGTGACCTCTGTGATCATTCACAGATTTCACACGTAGTAAGCAATGATGTCAGAAGTGACATCTTGCTTACTACTCTGCATGTGATCACTCACACAGAGGTCCCGTCCGATGATCGATGTTCCGCTGTGTCCTCCGGACACAGCAGGCGCCGGACGCGGTGCTGCGCGCTCCCTGGGAGCGTGCACAAGCAGGGGGCATGGAGGCCGTTTATAAATGGCCACCCGACCCTGCACTGCGTTGTATATAAACGGCCGGACGGGAAGTAGTTAACCCTTCTCTGACTCTTCCTTGCAGGGAACCTCCACCTCTCATGGAACCAACCTGGAGTACCTCAACCGGGCGTGTACCGCCTACCTGGAGCGCAAGAGGGCGACGGGGAAGACAGGCACCGATGATGAGGGCGCCCCGATGCTGAAAAAGAGACGGGCGGAGCGGTCTGTAGAGGTCATCAGTAGCCGCTTTGGCCAGTATCTCCTCCCCGTGTTACCTGCGTCAGGTGAGGAGGACATTGCGGGAAAGGCGGAGACTCCGGGAAAAAGAAGAGGCCAATCCTGGAGCGGAGGGCGTGGACACAATTACCAGCGACGCGGTGCTGGACTGTTTGGTGAACCCTCGAGTTGTCCGCTTGGTGGCTCAGCTCCTGTTATCCCGGCCATATAGGTAGTCACATGACCAACTCGCTAAAACTTATGTCTGCTCATGAGACAGCGCTAAATAAAACCGCCATCGGATCTGAAGAGTTCACCGCAAGCCGCGGATATCAGAAACCAGACCGGCGTCGGCCACAGACAGTTTTTTTTTCTATGCCACTCTTCATAATTAAGTTGTGTGAACGAGCAAAATTATGGAACAAAATTTTGTAACAATATTTGGCGCCATATTTTTTTTTTCATATAAAATATCAGTTCAGAAAAATGTCATTTAACTGCTTGTCGACCTGCGGCGTTACATATACAGGCGTACCTCGGTTTACAAACGCCTCGGTTTACGAACGCCTCAGTTAATGTCATTTTCGGTTTACGAATGACAATCCATTGAAAATAACGCCTCGGTTTACGATTTTTTACGAATTTTTTTCGCAATACGAAGTGTATGTCGGTGCCGATTTTTAAATGCAATTGCCGGATTTTTTTTTCTTCACTATAGCTCACGGAATTAGCTGTCACTTTCCCCGGAGCTAAAGGAAACTTTTGTTTCTTTTATTTCGGGAAACAAACTAAAAGGAAACTTTGTTTCTTTTAGCTGTAGGGGAAATGTGACAGCTGATTCTCTGAGCTATAGTGAAGAAAAAAAAAAAAAAGCTGGTAATTACATTTAAAAACCGACACCGACCTATAGTGACAGCGACTTTTTTTTTTACATTTTTCTGACCTCCGGAACGGATTAATTGGTTTTCAATGCATTCCTATGGTAAACGGCGTTTCGGTTTACAAATTTTTCGCAATACGAAACGTCCCGGAGAACGCATTAAATTCCAAAATCAAGGGACACCTGTACTGTGGAAGGGCGCCTCCTACAGGCATGGTGACTCACCTGTCTCCAGGTTTCAGGCATGCGTGCGCGCCTCCGCCTGCCTACTCCCATGTAATTTGACGCAGCGGGAGATTGTCAGCAGATCCTGGCCGGTGATTCGTGTCTGGGACCTGCTGATTGGTTGTGTCTAATCACCGCCTAGAGCCCTGTGTTGACATACAGCACAGGGCTCTCTATACAGAGGGAACGATCGCTTTGTTTCTTTTCCCTGCAAAGCAGGAAAAAGAAACACATCAAACTGTAGAAAGAAAATCGACACACATTGCACATTGTTAGGCACACAATTAACCCCTTGATTGCCCCTAGATGTTAACCCCTTCCCAGCCCCTGTTATTAGTGCAGTGTATAGGATTAGCACTGATCAATGTATTAGTGTCACTGGTGATGTCAGTGGCAGTTAGTCCCCACCAAGTTTAAGTTACGCAGGCCATAGACGGGTCAAAAACTGACCAGTTTTTTTAAAAAAAAAAAAATCGGTCGTTCAATCGGCCGAAGTTACCACCAAAAGTAAAAAAAAAAACGGCCGTTTTTCGTCCCGTCTACGGCCGGCATTTTTACTTCTGTCCCTGCAGAGAGCTCCGCTATTATATTTTACATGAAAAAGTCAGTTGTACTACCGGCTCCTCCTCTTCAGTCCTGCACAGGTGTACCGGCTCCTCCTCTTCAGTCTTGCACAGGTGTACCGGCTCCTCCTCTTCAGTCTCGCACAGGTGTACCGGCTCCTCCTTTAGTCTCGCACAGCTCCTCCTCTTCTCGCACAGGTGTACCGGCTCCTCCTCTTCAGTCTTGCACAGGTGTACCGGCTCCTCCCCTTCAGTCTTGCACAGGTGTACCGGCTCCTCCTCTTCAGTCTCGCACAGGTGTACCGGCTCCTCCTCTTCAGTCTTGCACAGGTGTACCGGCTCCTCCCCTTCAGTCTTGCACAGGTGTACCGGCTCCTCCCCTTCAGTCTTGCACAGGTGTACCGGCCGGCTCCCCTCCTCTTCAGTCTTGCACAGGTGTACCTGCTCCTCCTCTTCAGTCTTGCACAGGTGTACCGGCTCCTCCCCTTCAATCTTACAAAGGTGTATCGGCTCCTCACCTTCAGTCTTACAGAGGTGTACCGGCTCCTCCCCTTCAGTCAAGTTTGCACAGGTGTACCGGCCGGCTCCTCCCCTTCAGTCTTGCTCAGGTTGTACCTGCTCCTCCCCTTCAGTCTTACTCAGTTGTACCTGCTCCTCCCCTTTAGTCATTCTCAGTTGTATCGGCTCCTCCACTTCAGTCTTGCACAGGTGTAGCGGCTCCTCCCCTTTAGTCATTCTCAGTTGCATTGGCTCCTCCCCTTCAGTCTTGCTTCAGTTGTACCGGCTCCTCCCCTTCAGTCTTGTTCAGTTGTACCGGCTCCTCCCCTTCAGTCTTGCTCAGTTGTACCGGCTCCTCCCCTTCAGTCTTGCTCAGTTTTACCGGCTCCTCCCCTTCAGTCTTGCTCAGTTGTACCGGCTCCTCCCCTTCAGTCTTGCTCAGTTGTACCGACTCCTCCCCTTCAGTCTTGCTCAGTTGTACTGGCTCCTCCCCTTCAGTCTTGCTCAGTTGTACTGGCTCCTCCCCTTCAGTCTTGCTCAGTTGTACTGGCTCCTGGACTGAAACTGAAGCCAAAACTTGTGTGTCCCATTCCATAGATATCCCTTCACGTCCTGTTTTAAATAGGTGTCTCCATTGGAAGAATTCTTCTCTCTTCCTGTTCCAGCGACAACTCAAAATTTGGAGATTTTCCTATTATATTCTGCCTCAATGACAATGTTCACCAAGACAAACTGAGAGGATGGCTCCATCCAGTGGGGACAATAAAAACCCGACAGGGGGGGTCTAACCTTTCTGGGGGAAAAAATGGCTTTAGTTACACTTCTTAAACTTCAGCTTACCCACACTGCTCTGGGGGTTCTGAGTAGAGAAAGTCCAGCGGTGAAGTTGTTGGTGCCGATAAACGGATTCCGTTAGCAGGATATCGAATTGACGAGATGCTACAATGAGAACATCATACAATGTATCACTTTATATTCCAAACTACTCCCTCATACAGATCCAACCTCCTAGCGCCACTCCCTCGTACAGATCCAACCTCCTAGTGCCACTCCCTCCTACAGATCCAACCTCCTAACACCACTCCCTCCTACAGATCCAACCTCCTAACACCGCTTCCTCGTACAGATCCAACCTCCTAACACCACTCCCTCCTACAGATCCAACCTCCTAACACTACTCCCTCGTTCAGATCCAACCTCCTAACGCCACCACTCCCTCGTACAGATCCAACCTCCTAACACCGCTCCCTCCTACAGATCCAACCTCCTAACACCACTCCCTCGTACAGATCCAACCTCCTAACACCGCTCCCTCCTACAGATCCAACCTCCTAACACCACTCCCTCGTACAGATCCAACCTCCTAACACTACTCCCTCATACAGATCCAACCTCCTAACGCCACTCCCTCGTACAGATCCAACCTCCTAACGCCACTCCCTCGTACAGATCCAACCTCCTAACGCCACTCCCTCGTACAGATCCAACCTCCTAACGCCACTCCCTCGTACAGATCCAACCTCCTAACGCCATTCCCTCGTACAGATCCAACCTCCTAACACCACTCCCTCGTACAGATCCAACCTGCTAACATCCTGTCCCTCATACAGATCCAACCTCCTAGCGCCACTCCCTCGTACAGATCCAACCTCCTAGTGCCACTCCCTCGTAGAGATCCAACCTCCTAACACCACTAACGCCTCCTACAGATCCAACCTCCTAACGCCGCTCCCTCCTACAGATCCAACCTCCTAACGCCGCTCCCTCGTACAGATCCAACCTCCTAACGCCGCTCCCTCGTACAGATCCAACCTCCTAACGCCGCTCCCTCGTACAGATCCAACCTCCTAACGCCACTCCCTCCTACAGATCCAACCTCCTAACACCGCTTCCTCGTACAGATCCAACCTCCTAACACCACTCCTAACCCTTGTACAGATCCAACCTCCTAACATCACTCCCTCCTACAGATCCAACCTCCTAACGCCACTCCCTCTTACAGATCCAACCTCCTAACGCCGCTCCCTCCTACAGATCCAACCTCCTGACGCCGCTCCCTCGTACAGATCCAACCTCCTGACGCCGCTCCCTCCTACAGATCCAACCTCCTGACGCCACTCCTTGGTACAGACCTCCAACCTCCTGACGCCACTCCCTCGTACAGATCCAACCTCCTGACGCCGCTCCCTCGTACAGATCCAACCTCCTGACGCCGCTCCCTCGTACAGATCCAACCAACCCTGACGCCGCTCCCTTGTACAGATCCAACCTCTTAACGCCGCTCCCTGGTACAGATCCAACCTCCTAACGCCGCTCCCTGGTACAGATCCAACCTCCTAATGCCGCTCCCTGGTACAGATCCAACCTCCTAACGCCGCTAACGCCTCCCCTACAGATCCAACCTCCTAACGCCACTCCCTGGTACAGATCCAACGTCCTAACGCCACTCCCTCGTAGAGATCCAACCTCCTAGCGCCACTCCCTCGTAGAGATCCAACCTCCTAGCGCCACTCCCTCGTAGAGATCCAACCTCCTAGCGCCACTCCCTGGTACAGATACAACCTCCTAGCGCCACTCCCTCGTACAGGTCCAACCTCCTAACGCCACTCCCTGGTACAGATCCAACCTCCTAACGCCACTCCCTGGTACAGATCCAACCTCCTAACGCCACACCCTGGTACAGATCCAACCTTCTAACGCCACTCCCTCGTAGAGATCCAACCTCCTAACGCCACTCCCTGGTACAGATCCAACCTCCTAACGCCACTCCCTGATACAGATCCAACCTCCTAACGCCACTCCTTCGTAGAGATCCAACCTCCTAACGCCACTCCTTCGTACAGATCCAACCTCCTAACGCCACTCCCTCCTACAGATCCAACCTCCTAACGCCACTCCCTCGTAGAGATCCAACCTCCTAACACTACTCCCTCATACAGACCCAACCTCCTAACACAACAGACATAATTCTGCAATATTTACCATCTTCACATCCATGACGCCCAACAATCATCCATTATTGCCAACAGACACCGCCACGGTACACATTGGCACCATCGGAGCCTTCTTG